GGATGGTAAAGGTGGATGGTGGAGGTGGATGGTGGAGGTGGATGGTGAATAGTGGAGGTGGATGGTGGAGGTGGGTGGTAGAGGTGTATGGTTGAAGTAAAAATGTAAACACCCATCTCATGGCATTCATCTTATGGTGGTTTTATTTTGGCGAAGCGGAAAATAAACTGGTCGATGATAGCGTTTGCCTGTTCGTTCGCTTGTTTGTTCATTCTTTTGTTAGTTCGTTTGTTTGTTTGTTCGTTCGTTTGTTCGTTCGTTTGTTTGTTTATTTGTGAGTTTTTTTGTTGAAGGCTTATTTTAATTGCCATTCAACAGTACGTGAAGTTCATTGAAGTGTAGTTGCTCTGGTATTTTTGTTGGAGTTTTTTTGTTGTTGTTGTTGTTGTTGTTTCAAATGTTGTAGAAATTGTTGTCGGTCGTTGGAGGTGACGATGTTGTTAATGTTGTTGTAGTTGTAGCAGTTGTTGCTGCTGATGTTGATGCTGTTGTTGGAGATGTTGACGTTGTTGTTGTTGTCTCTGTTGGATGGCTGGAAAATGGAATATGGATGGAAACATGATCGGACACTCAAAAGGAATAATCAGTGAAGGACAAGTCACTTGACGACGAAGACGATGATGATGATGATGAAAATGATGGTGATGATGAAAATGATGGTGATGATGACGATGATTATGATGAAAATGATGATGATGACAATGATTATGATGGTGATGATGATGGTGGTGATGATGATTATGATGGCGTAGATGATGATGACGATTATGATGGTGGTGGTGATGATGATGATGTCGAGTATTGTCATCTAATCCTCGATCAATATTGACCAAAAAAGATTAGCCAGCATATGTTTAATGGGGATGATAATGATGGCGATGATGATGATGATGATGATGACGATGATGGTAATGATGATGATGATGAAGTGATGATGGTGGAGTGAAGATGGCGAGTATGATGATGATTTGATGATGAGTATATGATAATGGTGACAAAGATACAATAAGGTGACGTTTAATTGATGATGACGTTTTTGTGGTGAATATGATGATGATGATGTTGTAATGATGATGATGATAATCGTGAAATATTTCTAAAAGTTCCTTGACAAACGTTTCTAATTATAAACAGGGACGTAAAATTGATCGTGGTGATGATGATGATGTTGATGATAATAATGACGAAGTTGATGTTGACGTCAATGTATTCGGTGGTGTTGATAATAATACCGATAATGTTGATAATGATTTCAGTGGTGTTGATCCTGATGATGATGACAGCAATGTTGTTGTTGTTGATGATGATGATGATTCCAGTTGTGTTGATGATGATGATGATTTCAGTGGTGTTGATGATGGTGATTTCAGTGGTGTTAATGATGATGATTTCAGTGGTGTTAATGATGGTGATTTCAGTGGTGTTGATGATGATGATTTCAGTGGTGTTGATGATTTCAGTGGTGTTGATGATGATGATTTCAGGGGTGTTGATGATGATGATTTCAGTGGTGTTGATGATGATGATTTCAGTGGTGTTGATGATGATGATTTCAGTGGTGTTAATGATGGTGATTTCAGAGGTGTTGATGATGATGATTTCAGTGGTTTTGATGATGATGATTTCAGTGGTGTTAATGATGGTGATTTCAGTGGTGTTGATGATGATGATTTCAGTGGTGTTGATGATGATGATTTCAGTGGTGTTAATGATGGTGATTTCAGGGGTGTTGATGATGATGATTTCAGGGGTGTTGATGATGAGGATTTCAGGGGTGTTGATGATGATCACGACATTTGATCGTCTCTGTTGACTACCAGCTCATAGAATTCTGTTGATGTTGAATGATGAATGTTTGCTTCTTATACATCACCATCAGCATCATCACCACCACCACTATCATCATCATCATCGTCGTCATCATCATCACCATCAACATTACAATCACCATCATCATCTTTATCGTCAACTTTTTTATTATCGCCATCATATTCATCGTCATCATCTTTATCACATCTCTTCGAATCTGTTAATTCTCTTTTCATCATCAACAAACACCTCACTGATCGTTGCAATTATGAACATAATCATTACAATACAACAAATAACAACATCATCATCACAAACATGTTCACCAGTTTAATTATAAACATCATCGTCATCACTGTTCATGGTGTCATCCTCACATCGTCAACAACAACCATTTCCATACAACAACTATATCCATTTGACCATCACGAGTTTAGCACAGTAATTCTCTTTCTCTCTCTCTCTCTCTCTATCTCTCTCTCCCTCTCTTTCTCTCTCTCTCTCTCTCTCTGTCTCTCAATATTATTAATAATTTTTTCACCTGAAGATTTCTAGAAAGTCCAAAAATTTTCCATTTTTTTTAATTTGGTGTGAATTAAACGAACGAAATTCTCATTTAAATGTCCAGATATACTTTTAATCACAGCACTTCTTTAATGAGCAGCTGCTTGGGAGTGGGATTTTTGTTTTCATTGCTTGTAGGTCAATTTTCTCGTTAATTTTTTCGTTCCAAACATTATCCGATCATTCATTCATTCATTCATTCATCCATTCATTCATTCATTCATTCTTTTACCCATTCCAACATTCATTTTTTCATCCGTGCGAACCGACCATCGAAGTCGATCTTTCCATCCTTGTTGCGGTCAGCAGCAGACATCATCTTAGTGACGTCATCGTCATCCACTTCCTCTCCCAGCATCAACATCGTTTTCTTGAGTTCATCCGAATCAATCAGTCCATCCCCGTCGATGTCAAAGACCTTAAATGTTTTCTCGACGTCTTCGATCTCTTTCCGTTTTACGCCATCTCCATCCTCTTCCTGTCCGAACAGCTTCCGGTGTTCTTCCAACATGGCGCGGAACTCGCAGAACTCGATCGTTCCATTCCCTGCAGAATATTTTTTATATTTTATTTACTTAATTAATTAATTAATTACTCGTTAATTATTTATTTGAAATAATATTGTTTTTATATTTATATTGTATTCTGTTATTAATTTATTATTAATTAATTAATTTACTTGTTTATTATTTAAACTATTGCTACCCATTGAATATTTATTTTTTATATAATTGTTTTTTATAAAAAAAATGTCTAAAACTGTTTTGTATTCGATCGAATTATTAAAATATATTTAACCGCAGGAATTTTCGTATAATTTTTGTCGGAATAAAGTCAGTTTCAACACGAAATAAATGACATTGTACTTCTTCAGTTTTTCACATCAAATGGAAAATCATGGCAGGTCTAGGATGCTCACTTAACAGTCTTGGACAACTTGATGTTAGAAGTAACGAAATCTGAACTTCCATCAGGTAACAATCAAAGGTTGGTCAAATGTTTCATTGCAGATTGCATGATGCAAGCATTTTCTCTATCCATTGAATCAACTTCCAGGCTACAACCGCAACATAAAAATAATTTATTTAAATTTCAACAAACTTATCACGAAATTTTGTAAAATTCTGCACTGGCTTTTAAAAACTGTTAGGACAAGAAAATAATTTTTTTCTTCTTCAATGGTGAATGGAGATTAACATGAGCTTTCCGTGTTAGAGATTTTTATTCTTAATGGCTCTATTTTTCTCCAATCAGTTGAATGAGAGGAATAGTTGAGGCGGTCTTCCATAAAAATGTCTCTAATGAGCAGAGTTGCAAGTTGTGCGGATGTTTCTTTTATTTTCATTGCAGTTTCAATTGATTTAAACAACTTCACAATCAAGGTTTTCGATATTTAACTGTTTGCTGCAATTAAAATTTATATTTACAACTTAATTTTATGTGAACATAAAGTTTTAATTATTTTTTGAATTAACAACAAAATTGATGAAGTGACCAAATGGAAATTATATTAATCAACCAGCCGACCAACCACTCAATCAACCAGCCAGCCAGCCAAAACCGACCAATCAACTAACCAGCTAGCCAACAAACCAGCCAACTAATTAACCAACCAAATAACTACTTAATCAACCAGCCAGTAACAACCAACCAACTAACCAGCCAAATAACCAACTAACTAATTAGCCAACCAGCCACCCTACCATCCAGCCACCCTACCATCCAACCAGCTAGCAAGCCAACCAACCAACCAACCAACCAACCAACCAACCAACCAACCAACCAGCCAGCCAGCCAGCCAACCAACCAACCAACCAACCAACCAACCAGCCAGCCAATCAATCAACCAACCAACCAACCAACCAACCAACTAACCATCGGTATCAACCCTGTCAATCATCTGTTGTATCTGTTCATCAGTGGTGGGCAGTCTAAGTGACGTCATCACGGTTTTCAGCTCGTCCATCGTGATTCGTCCATCCTTGTCTTGGTCAAAGAGGTCGAACGCTTCCTTGTACTCTGCGTTTCGTTCGAAATGTTTTTGTTATTTTCAACATGAAATATCGTTCAAAGTATATTTTTCGACTACGCCGCATGTCAGCCAGCCAGTGTAGTAGTAAAATGATTTTTGATGATTAAAAATATTTAATTAATCGGAAATTTTTCGGACTGTAAACTCGCTTCGTCACTTCAAAATTAACGAGTATACGTACTTGAATGAAAAAATGCTCTTTACAACCGCAAGGGTACATCGTGAATAAAAACCAAAAAACGTTCACAGTGTTAGGTGCGCCTAGTGACACCTGCTCGCTCTTCTGACCTGTCTAATGAATTAAAATGCCTGGGTGCAAGAAATGCATGCAGGTGAATTTTATAAATACGGAAAGATTAAATAATCCCAATTCTTCACATGTTTTACATCTTTCTAGTTAAACTATGTTTTCAAAACAAAAAATCAAGTTTGGGAATGATGAGTAAAAGTGTATAAATTCATTTTCAACTGACAAAAACGCGAAATAATTGCAATCTCAATGAAGGTGCCGGGACGTGAAGTTGACACCAAGAAGGGGCAACTTCTTCGAAAGAACAAGCTGGCCTGAAAGTTGTGGTGAAGTGAAATGTTCACTCCATTAACAGTAACTAACAGCTGGTTGGCAGGTGCAGAAAGTTCTTTATTTTCATCAAATATTCATTTTTTCATTTATTTTCATTAAGCACTACTCTTCTACTTAGCAGTTCGAGGCGTACTCAAATATTTATAGGGAGAGAGTTTAAATTTAAAAAAAAATTTGTGAACTCCATGTCACACCTCAGGATTTGTTAATTTTTTGTAAAAACCTTCCCACCGTATTTTGAAAAATTAAAAATGGTTGATGTGTTGGAGATAATATTAAATAACAAAATTAAATTAAATTAAAGAATTTTATTTCTAAATAATAATACCAATAAAAATACAAGTTTTAGCAATAATAACAAATGTAATAATAATCTTACTAACAACAACAACAAAACTAATGATGCACACAAATAACGAAGGAACGAAGCTGTGACGACCGAACTTGACTCAGGTTGGAAGAAAAGTCAACAAAAATATTCTTCTTTTTCTTCTTCTCTTTCTTCTTCTTCTTCTTCTATTTCTTCTTTTTTTTCTTCTCTTTCTTCTCTTTCTTCTTCTTCTTCTTCTTCTATTTCTTCTTCTTCTTCTTCTTATTCTATTTCTTCTTCTTCTTTTCTTCTTCTTCTTTTTCTTCCTGTATCAGCGCACTAATGATGTTAACATGACATTGAAGGAAGTTTTTTGAAAGTAGGTGCAACAAAACACGACAGTCGATAATGCACTGATAGTCGTGAAATGAAAAAAATTTCCAAAAATTGGATGCCCTCTTATAATAAACTTGTAAACAAATACTTCATTGAAATAAAATGAACTCTTTGTTGAAGTTGAAATTTAGTGAAACTCACTCGCTAAACTAGAGCCAATTTTACAAGAAAACAAATTTAAGGTCTGAATTGAAGGAGGAAAAATATTTTATTGTAAGTTTCTACATACAATTATTCCAAAAGCAAATGGTAGCAAGACCGTAATGTTTAAAGACGGATCTTCTCAATAACCAAATTTGTATTCTAAAAGATCTCTCATGTACTGAAATGCAGAAGCGTACGGCTGGAGTGATTTTATGTTTAAGAAATGTTCTTCCTCCTTTTATGTTCCAGATTCGAAATGGAGACACCGCCATCGCAATTGTATGTCGAACTTTCGTGATGTCTTCATTCGCATGCGTCTACGTTGAAACTGAACGACAAAATACTGCAAGGTACTACCATGTACTACTAATATTAGCAAACTAGGTTCAACCTATCAGGCTGATAAAACTACAATATTTCCAAACATAAATCTTTGCGGTAGCAGCAAAATTCAATTTCTACAAACAAACTGGAGGTTCTTTTATTGTCAGAGATATGCTTCGTACGCCAGTGTTATGATTCTGCATGATTGATGACTCCACGTCATGTGATACGACGTTCAAGGATGTGTTCGTTTGCACGTGTGCCGTGGAAACTTTCCTTGAAACATGCCGGGGTCTTTAAGTGTGGCTTGCCTTGCGTTCGAACTGGCTTTCACGCTTCTGCCGTACAACCATCTCAACTAACGAAAGACATTTTAAAGACATTTTATTCAAATTTGTGAACCTCGTGAAAACACAAAATCATTGAAATCGTTTAAATCATTTGTTCATTAACTCGTCATTAATTTAATAAAGTTTTAAAATGTAAAATTGGTTAGAAACTAACATCTGAATACACCAACCGACAGCCATACAAATTAACAAGAAACCGCATGTAATGATTTGCTGAAAGGTGCACAAACTCTTCTCTCAGAAAAATAATTTTTACATAAAAAAATGTTTCCTATTTATTGTTACTATTGAGTTTTCAAAAAATTCACAATGCTTATTATTTCAACCACCCATTTATCACTTACGAAAAGGTTGGCCACTACCGATTGGGAAAACTGCAAGAAAGAGGAAATAAATAATTTAGCGTTTCCACATTATGGTTTGTTTTAAAAATAAAATTTTTGCGTTTCCTTGAAAGAAAAAATATAATACTTTGATTTCTTAAAAGAAAATCGTTTACCAAAAATGGTAATTGTTTGACGGTCATCATTCAAAGTCGAACCCGCATTGTGCGCTTCTGAATGTTTCCTCCATTCCTCTATTGCTTGCTGTTTCAAAGTTTTTGTTGAATATTTTCAGTAGAAATTGTTCTGTCGTTAAGATTTTCATCTTAGAAGCTAAATCTTCCGGATGAAAAATCACAAAAAGTGCTGAACTGGATGATAAATTAGACACAGAAGCCAGAATTACAGGGCGAAGATGATGTTTGCTTTGCACGTGTGTGCTCTGCAGATGTTAAACATAACGTACGTAACTTAACAAGCCGTAACATTACATGACATGACATTACACAACATGACATTTTTCTGTTTTATTTAATTTGCAGTTGGCTATTTTTTTTTCCAAATCATTGTTCGAAATTATATCTAATTTTTTGATAATTTTTATAATTTCATTATTTATATTATTTATTCTCTCATTTTCAAGATTTTTTCGTGGTCAAGTTTTTTTGTTTTGAAATGTTTGTGAAAATATTTTTTCTCAAAATTATTTCATAATTTTCGTTGTTTATGTTCGCAAAGTTTTGTTTCGCCGAATAACTTTTATTTGATTTCAGTTTTTCGAACTGCCGTCCATTCATCCCGCGTTCCAATTTTACATATTTTGTTTTGTTGACTCGGGGGTTTATCGATTGGCGAGATACGCATCGCATGGCGTGCTATTGTAGCTCCTGCACAATCATCACGTACAGCACACAACACATCACACGTACTTCACTCATTTCAGATTCTCACTCTCTGCTGTGCACTCATACGCACGTACGTACCTACCTACAAGCTACACACATTTTATGCGTTTCTTCAAATGTGTACACGCAAATTTTCGTGCATAATTATGCATACATTAGCACTTATGCAAATACTTAAAACGGGATTGTTTTTGTTGGATGTGATTTGTAAGCTTTACATTTTCGCTGGTGTTAATGATGAAGATTGTTCGGATAAATAAATGTATATATATATATATATATAAATATGTATATATGTATAAATATATATATATATGTGTGTGTGTGTGCGTGTGTGTGTGTGTGTGTTTGTTTGTGTGTGTGATGTGGTGTGTGTGTACATATAAACTATACACACACACATACAGACATGTGGAGATAAGGTTTAGATTTAGCAATATTCACGGAATTATTTGCTATCAAATTCGTTCATAATGTTGTTTCGACCGGGAAGTTATCGACTGTTTAGATGGGGTTTTGATAGTTTTAGGAGATGGATTGCATGTCAGTTGTTGTTGCTGTTGTTGTTACTGTTGTTGTTGTTGTTGCTGTTGTTGTTGTTACTGATGTTGTTGTTGTTGCTGTTATTTGTAGAAATGTTTGTTCTTTAATGTTGTTTTATTTTTGTTGGTACATGTGTTATTTGTGGTTGTTGATGTTGTTGACATTGTTGATATTGTTGATGTTGTTTAATGTTGTTGAGGTTATTTTATGTAGTTGTTGTAATTTAATGATGTTGATGTTGTTGATGTTGTTTGATCATGTTGATGTTTTTGATGTGATGTGAGATAGTTTGTGGTTGGGTCAATTTTTGAAAATCCCTCCTCCACTCGTCATAAGAAATTATTCCGCTTTCAAT